GGGTGGGGGCAGAAAGTGGAAATGAAAGCAGACAACAGAACATTGCTAGAGAGCAGGAAAGGAGGTGAAAGGAGACAATTTTAGAGAAGAAAATTTTTTGGTCGCTACCCGGATTCGAACCTGGGACCTTTGAATGAGAGGCCAACACCTTAACCTCTAGGCCACGAGAGCCCCTCAATTTGTTTTTAAAATGTATAATTAACGAAACTTAAAACAATGGGTGAAAGGGCATCATGGCCCTGAGATCTGAAATGCTTTGCCAAATAGTTTAAGACAGGTCAAATCTTTTTTTTATGTCAGCTAAATTTAATTCAAGACATACATGTATAGAGAGATTTTTTTTAGTGAGAACTGGATGTCTTGTTGTTTTTTGTGTGTTTTTGTTGTTGCTGTATTTTTAAAGCATTCAGAGTCTCTGTTCCTAATTCGGGGTTGGGCGCTATACAAATTAAATGTCATAATCGTATAATGTTATTTCTGTTATTGTTGAGCCTCTAAAAAAGTGTGTTTTATTTCGGTCCTGTCTTCCTTCCCACATAGTTTTGTGTGAAAAAAAGTGTAGGCCTATCCCCGCCTTTTGTGCTGTCTTGCCGATTCGACCACGTCAATTTTTAGACTGTTATTGCGCGGGAATCGCCCGTGATAGCGCCTAGAAGAAAACGTGGTGTGTTGTTTTTTCTTACAAATATTGTGCGAGACACAACCAACGCGTTGAATCGAAATGCTTGTCTGCTCTCTGTGCCTGCAAGTTGTTTCCATAGTTCCAGCTCTTTCTGTGCGATGCGTGTCAATAGACAGCGTCATTTCTTTCTTTCTCTTTTTATTGCAACACAATTTTTACCAATCTGCCTCGTACAATTAGTGAACAAATCGTCGTTTTGTTCGATTGTTGAGCTGGGCGAAGAAACGAATCTGGAACCGATTCCCACTGTTATTCCTACGGAAGAAAAGTTATAGTGCCGATTTCTTTCAGTAAAACGACGGTTGTCGTTGCTGTATTCATTGTAGTATCTTTTTTAAAAGAATTTATTTTTGAAAGAAAAATGTTGGTGTCTCTCTCTCTCAGTGGTCCGAAATTGAGGTGATCCTGAATCCGAAAGCGGATCGGAGCCCACCAGGTAACCAGTAACTGGCTAGGTGTTGGACTAATCGGAATTAGTCATGGATTTGAAAGAAGTATTCAAGTAACTGTCTAGGGGCCAAGATGGTACCAATGATAGTAAATAACAAGATGGGCCACTCAGCCAAAAATGTGTTCGCAGGAAGTATGCTCTTTGCTTCAGATGGCGCTGCAGTCTGTTTTGAAGCTCTCTTTCGTTTTTCCAGAAGAAGAATAGGAATAGCACCTCCTTGCGTGCGCAGATCGACTGCTGTTCATCAGCAGTTCGGGTTCGTTCAGTATGGAGTTTTAGTTTTTAAAAATTTTAATGACCTCTTGCCTTTCATTCTAAAGTCAAATTAAACTAAGAAAACAATCACCCTTTCCTCCGGAAGAGGTTTTTTGTCAGCGTAACCATTAAAAAAAAGCGTTCTTCCGAAATCATTCAAAAACTTGCTAGTTTCACTTTGATTTTTTAAAACTCAAGTAGGATAACTCTGTTCGCTAAAGGTGCGCTTTTGTGAAGAGGGCGCCACCGAATTTTGCGGACACTTTTTTAATTGGCTCAAAGAGAGAAGTGACCCCTCTTGTTATGTACTATCTTTGATGGTACACAACTCCTCTCTTTGAGCCAATTAAAAAAGTGTCCTCAAAATCCGGGGGCGCCCACTTCCCGTGCTGAGTTACCTTACTTGAGTGAAAATTAATAAAAGTGAACCTAACTAGTTGTGCTATTCCTATTCTTCTTCTGGAGAAACGAAAGAGACCTTCAAAACAAAGACTGCAGCGTCACCTGAACCAATGAGCGGACACCTTTTTGGCTGAGTGAACTACCTTGTTATGTATGATCTTTGCTAGGGGTCGGACTCAAGGAAGTAATTAAGTATTTGTCTACTGGTCGGACCCACCGGAAGAAACCATGGACTCCCCGAAAGTAATCACATTATGAGTCCCTTAACTGAAAGTAATCGGGTTTGACCTCAATTCCTACGATTCCTAGCTTTCAAGAATCGGGAATCCGCCGTTAAAAAGTTCAAGAATAGCCCGTTGTAAGTTTGAATAGAAGTCTGCCCCACTCTCTAGCCCAGCACGATACTAGCTGATCCATCGATGCGCCCAGACAATTGTGTCTTTGGGCTTGTCTTTTCCCTTCCCTACGTTTAACCTCTCTCATAAAAGTTAAATTAAAATTTGGAGAAAAAAATCTTTAATCTACCTCTGCTCCTTTTGCCTTTTATTTTCCCACTGAGAGCAAAAGTAATTAAACAACAAGCTATCGCTTGGGACAATGTCACTGACTGAAGTGTCTTTTGGTCTTTCCCAAAAAGGGGGGGGGGTAATAACATGTTCGTATGCACCGTAGAATTGTAAATGGGCTGGCTTATCTATGTCATGCTCATACTGTGCCGAAACAACACAGGAGGAACTGCTGCCTTTTCTTTCCTGATCCTTACTATCGTCAGTTTTCCTCACCTTCTTTTGTATGTTTGTCACTCTCTTGTGAACTGCTATTTCCGGGGTACCTTGATAGTCG